ATGATGAGTGGTGTATGATGAGTGGTGTATGATGAGTGGTGTATGATAAGTGGTGTATGATGAGTGGTGTATGATGAGTTGTGTATGATGAGTGCTGTATTGAACAGCTGTTGAATGTCCGTAACACGGAAGTTTTGCACACTAAACTTCCTTTGACTAGTAGCTTCATAGGTCTACTCAGCCCCCCGGGCTTTAAACATAGAAAGAGGAAACGAAACCAAACCATGAACTGCAAAGAGAAAAAAAAGAATCCAATAATCCACCTGGCCTCTTGGAAGCTTTGCCCGCACTGAGTCTCAACTAGGTTGGTTAGAAAGCAGCTGTAAAAGAAGGGGAAGTTGGTCATCAAGAGCTTGACTCCAGACAGCAAAAAGGCAAGTTGATCCTCAGAATTGGAAAAATCCGAAGCATCACGTTTGCCGCACGACCTAAAGATTACTTTCTTAGGCACTCCGGCTCCTTCAAAGGCAAGAATCATCGTAGCCTTTTAGTGTCCGACGGTTCTCCAAGCTCACGACCAGTGGTGCAAGATATCTCCAAGCAAGACCTCCAGCTTTGATTAGGATGCTCAGGATGAGTGAAGTTCCCTGGAAGACGGCTTTGGATTCCCTGACAGATTGGAACTGCCAAGCCAAGAGAGCTGAAATCACCGCCACATAGATCGCTATAAAACATACTGTTATGAAGCTGGACAAGACCTTGCCACACTCCTCGGATTGAACATATGCGAGCGACGAGCTTACTGGGGACAAATGCAGTCCATCTCAAACCTGAAACTATGACATCTAAACACTTGTGGACTAGAGTGATCAACCAGCACAGGGAGTTAAAACAAAAAGCTGATGGCATTAACTAAATCGCAGCATGTCCTGCACAAAGATAGAATCCATTGAGAAACAGGTTTCTCACTCTCAAGTGATCACATAATGCATAATGTATGAGGAGGAGACACGGTGGCAAACTTACGGGGGATCCTCACACCAGCACCTGATATTTGTTAGCTGAGAATCACCAGTGTGGTCTGGATCCCAATCTGGATTGGGCATTTCCCTCGCTTCTCGCTCGTTCACTCCCCAAACCTGCTTGATTCTGGCAGTCTTGCGCTCGAACATATGAAGTGTGCTTGCAGCCCAAACTGAAAGAGGCACACAAAGAAAGGTCCTCAGTCCATCTAGCCTGTGCCCTTCCATTGTGATTGTGAGGGTCACCATCAGGAACAAAAGCCCGACGACTCCAGGAAAGAAGAATGACCGGCAGAGATGTCCCAAGAATCCAATGAAAAAGGCAATCTCCTCTCCAAAGTATTCACGAATATAAACGGCACTGTGATGTGGACTGAGTGTAAGCCATTTCCGTGCCGAGAGGAGCTCATCATGAATCTTCTGGGTTTCAATTTGATCCGGACAAGGAAAATGACAACTGACAACTCCTTGTCGTTCCATTTCATCCAAACTCACCCACTCATGCAACCAAAAACTCAATATTCGAACGCTGTCTATCGATCGAAAATCTTGAAAGTTGTTCTTCTCCTTTCTTGAGAATTCAGCATAAGCCAACACATCCTGTGAGTCATTATTCGGCAATGGATGGCCTCCAGGATAAGGATGATGGGCCTCAATGCCTTTGTAAACTGATTTGTCCAATGGCATGAGGTAGTGTAAAGTATCGGCCATGAACTCGATCGTGGGGCCCCTTTCTGGAAGATGTATTTTCAAGAAGTCTTCATCATGGTCAATACTGGCGAACTGGCTGGCTTCCAAACCCGACTCAGTCAGAATCTCAATAAACCTATCACGGATGTCCTGCTGGTACAGCTCCATGCGAACAGCCTCATCATCCGATTTGATATGTTTCAACCTTTCACACGTGGACTTGCTGTCGCAGGAAAAGGTGTGAAAGATCCTTTTTGCCCGTGTAAGTGGTTTGTCCACCAGTTCGTGCCTGGGCACTGTGCCGCCAGCAGCAGTACATCTTGGAAAAACAACCACCATGGTGCAACCCTGGGTGTCGACTTGCAAAGTAGGAATAAAGCCGGACAAATGAGTCCGACATGACAGGGCATGAAAACGTTCACGCATTTGCAGGCCCTGCTCCATCGGCACCGGTTGGCACAAAGCCTTTCTGATTTTATTGAGTATATTTTACACACGTGTTCATGAACCATCGTAGAGTGAAAATGATATTAGACAGTATTGGTAGTGGACAAAATGACAAGAAACCTTCAGACACATTTGGAGCCAAATGCAACCATGAGAACACTACAGTTTGTCCTCTGCGTACACACAAAATATGTTGTTGCTCAAAAATATTGCATTTTGACCCCACGTGCCAATGTTGGTGCCCAAATGCATCGCAGCTAACAAACAGATCAAACAGTTCACTCGGTCCATCTCGTCAAGGAACACTGTGCCACAAAGTCCCATGTATGCGTGCACCTCTTCCACTTTTCTTCGCACATTTACACATAAAGATCGGTATGTGTAATCTGCCAAGGGCAGAAAGCAGAGTTCGCATCATTGACACAAAATTTGTCTGGGTTTTGGTTGCAACATATTTGAGTGCAACAACTACAATCCACATGTATTAGATATCTAATATATATATATATGTGTGTATTTATTTATTTATGTATTTATTTATTTATTTATTTATGTTTTTATCTTTATATAAATGGCATGGTTGCACATGAAACCACTTCGGACACTCAGTGAAGCATCGTGCCAATACAATGTGCTGGTCTGCCTGCAAGTCTGCAAAAGTTGTACGAGCATCCAAGATCTCGTGCAAGTCTTTGTAATCATGGTCAGTCAAAAGTTGTCTCTTTCGGTTTTTCAGTCCACCTGACATCTTGCTGCTCCTTCTGGCCCGGTCCCAAATCTTGAAAGTTCTAATTCTTGGCCTGGGCAGCGGGAAAAAAATTTGGATGGCCATGTCCGACGGTGCTTTGGAGCGGTGAGGTGTAGAGAAGGGGTTGCATTGACTTCATGCATCCTTTGAAGTGGGTGTCAAAAGTTTGTGAGCATGACACTTCACACATGTCTTGACCCCAGCCCTGGCCCAAGATTCCCGTTGTGGAAAAAAGGGTTCACGCCCGCACTACGTGTTTTCGCAAAAAGCGTGGATTGAAGTTTGGTTGCAAGAAATCTCCAAGGTGATGGACATGCAAATTTACAGCCAGTTCGCAATGTGTGTGGATTCAGGTCCTACCACAAAAAATTCTAAGGTGATGTTCATGCATGTTTGCGTGCGCTTTTGCAATGTACAGGTCTTCGTGGTGAAATGTGTGCGCTGTGCATTCAGACCCTGCCCCAAATTCTTTTTTTGCACGGGCTTGGCTGCCAGTCATCGCAAAGAATGCGAAGGTCAGCTATTGTAGAGATTAAAGATTTCCTGCGACCATAAGAGAAACGACAAAGGCACCAAAACCACAAAAAACCAACAACACAAAAACAACCCAAACCAAAAACAACAGAACAAACAAAGACCAGCGCCGGTCCAGCCAGGAGACCTTAAAGATCTCTTGGAGGTATTTTCTCCATGCATCGCATAAATTCAGTGTGAAACGTAGCCTGGGCATGGAATTGCTAACTACATTCTGTTGTCTCAGACTGTCGGCTCGCCGATGTCTTTGGGACGGTAAGCTGGACAGTCAGTTTCTGATGAGCAAACTGCGGCAAAATAGTGACAAGGGCTGAAGGCTCAAGGAAAGCGACCAAATGCAGAAACATATTGTCATGGTGCAGTTATCAGATCGTTAGATTGTGCGTCTGCAAAAGTTACCTGAATGCATGCACGTACAGAAAAGGTGGCGCAGATAACTGATGTGACAAAGGCGGCTTGTGGCTGTAGAACAACTCAGTTCATGCTCCCCCTCCCATCCACGCGAGCATCGGACCTGGTACGCCGTTTTGTCCTTGGAATGGCCTGGGTGTCCTTGAAGTGCTGCTGAGTGATCTCCTCCAACATCATGTCATGAATGCACAGCCCCAACATCTAGAGCTTGCACTCTGCGGATCACTTAGCCATCCTAAGCCAACTTACCACTGAAAGGTCCTGCTTAGGCATTTTACATTTCCGATCTGCATCCTAGCGATCTATGATGCCGGCACAAGTCCCATTGGTCTCTCGCCGTAGCATTTGGAGCATGCTCTGAATCCAGCAGTCTCCAATTCAACATCTTCAAAGATTGGCTTATTATTTGACCCTCCTCTCAACCACGGCACGGCCAACCGCACTTCGTGGTCCATTGGGCTGGGTCAGCATGAAAACAACTAGGCTTGTTCACTTCATGATATGTGCGGCTATCCAAATTCAAAACAACCTCAGGAATCATGCTCAGTCTCATCTCTCTTCTCAACTGGTGTCGGTCTGGGTATATCTTGTCGAAATCGGCGATCTTCGATAGTTCCTCCTTGAGCTGTTTTTCTGCTTGCACCCATGCTTTCTCCATGTCACTCTGTCTTGATACAAGACTTGAAAGCATCTCGCCAATACTGGCTGCGTCCCTCATTGTGTTCTGAGCCTGGGACGATTCTTCGTGGGCTTTACCGAGATAAATCAAGGTGGTGTTGCTGGAGTGCCTAGCCAACCATTGGATTGAAGCGAAACCCAAACCTTGGCGGCCCAGTTCCTTGATGCCGGATCTCCTCACGGTGTGCCCCGAAATATCCTCCACCTTGAAGGGTGGTTTTTCTGGATGCTTCAGCGAGACAATCTTTGCCAATCGTTGCATCTCCTTAATGACTGATGCTTTGTCTGCTCTTTGCGCCGGGTCCTGCACTTGCCCAAACAGAGGGAAATGCCCAATGGGCACGTCCTTCAAGTCATTGAAACCTAGCCGCAATAGCTGCAGGTTGACCACTCTTTTCAGAGTGTGAAAAGGACATCCAAAGTTCTCCAACCCTCGGCATCGACATGTAAGAGTGCGCTTCACGCCAATACCTTGCTGGTCCACCTTGGAGGAAGGCAAAAACAACGAGGCAGATTTCTCAAATTCATCCAATCCGATAGTCCATTGGTCAATGAACAAAGTGGATAACTCCACTTCACGAAGCAACCACGCCATGCCCACCGTGACCATTGCTACTCTTTCTGCTGGAGCCATATCAGATCTATCGCTTTCTTCAGGGTTCCATCCATAGACAGTTACCAACCACTGCCAGTACTTTGGTCTTCTTTCTTACTAGATGATCTAGAGCCACGCAAACGACGATCGTTTCATGATAGAGTGCATAAACTCATTAGTGCTCTGACATGCGCTCATCGTGAAGAACTTCACAAGAAAACAAAAGCAAAGAACTCAGAGCACAGCACCTTTTTCTCCAAGGGCGTATTCTCTGACCGTTCTGGTCTCCGGCACGAAAATCTATTGCAACGAAATATGCTTTATGTAACGAAATATGCTTTATGTCTCGCGCTCTGTGCCTCAGGCGCGAATCTAGCTTCCGTTCAGCTTGAAGCGCGAAAGCAAAGGTATCTGCAAGGGAGTTGAAGAGCCGAGGCATCGGTCCAATCCAGCAAGTCTCCAGGCAAAGGGAACCAAATGGTGAGAAAAGACATGGCGGTGAGGGGGATGGCGGTGGGCAAAGAAAAGAAGAAAAAGAACGGCCGAGGAATGTTCAAGCATTGAGGACTTTGTCACGTTAACATGTTCTTGTTCCTGCATGGTATGTCCTGCATGCCTTGGGCCGCCTTCAAAATCAAAACAACGGGCGGTACATTTAATTAGCCCTGACGAACGGTCGACCAATGTGAAATTTTTCTTCGCAAGTAAAAATTATTCAAAAGGATATCTAAACGAAAGAAGAAACTGTCATCTACGAGGAAGTTTATCTTCTTTCTTACTAGATGATCTAGAGCCACGCAAACGACGATCGTTTAATGATAGAGTGCATAAACTCATTAGTGCTCTGACATGCGCTCATCGTGAAGAACTTCACAAGAAAACAAAAGCAAAGAACTCAGAGCACAGCACCTTTTTCTCCAAGGGCGTATTCTCTGACCGTTCTGGTCTCCTGCGCGAAAATCTATTGCAACGAAATATGCTTTATGTCTCGCGCATCCTCCCACAGTCAAGGAGACATCAATCCTGCGCTCAAGAGCTTCAAGACGTGGTCACCGCTCAAGGGGATCCTGCAAGACACGTCGAGGTCTGCAAGCTCGCCCCTAGACGGGGCATCGGCAGGATTCGCTGTGGATGCAACCCGCTCATACCATACAGTGGCACCAGTGGCTAGCTCCCACTCGTCCAGCAAGTTCACAGATGCCCGCACGATGATTGAATTGGTCTTTCGTGAAATCAACGCTGACAAAGCGGCCTCATTGTCAGTGTATGCAACAATCTCACTTGAGATATCGATGCCGGTTTCGGGAAGAAGGCTTCTGATTCCCAATACGAGAGCTAAAACTTCAGCCTTGTAAATGACATTTGTTTTTTCCTCTGGGTTGAGTTGCAGGGACTCCAACTTGCTCATCTCTAGACTAAACCAAGTGTGAAGTTTGCCCTCTTCGTTAAACGCCAATGCTCCCAACCCCACAATGTCGGATTCGTAACATGCGTCAGCAAAAACAAACCACCTTGAGCCTGAGGCTGTTGACACCCTTGTTCTTGGTCCGTTGACAACACGGTCCAGCAAGAACAAAAGTGAGTCACTGAGGTCAGTGTCCAGGCGTCCTTGCGGGTTCAACTCGGCATACCTGGAGGGGGAAAGGAAACCTGATGGGGCAAGAAACTGTCGGCAGGGAACTGGGGGGGGCAACTGGGGGAAAGGGAATTAGGGAAAAGGAACTGGAGAGATGGACAGGGACCTGGTGAGAGGAAACTGGGGACAGGGGACTTGGGACAGGGAACTGGGGGCAGGGAACTGGGACAGGGAACCGGGCACAGGGAACTGGGGGCAGCAAAGTGGGGACAGGGAACTTGGGACAGATGGCAACCATGCCGCCTCCGTAGCCCCTTTGGCTCAAGCAAAGCTGTTGAGTAGGAGGTTCAAGGCTACTTCTTAAAGAGAAGAAGTTGCCTCCTTTGTGCCGGCGCGTAGCTAGGTTGGAGGTTTCTTTGGGCTAACTTCAATTTACTCTTGCTTACTCAGGTGGTGTCCTTAGACATTGCTTGAGGTTTCGTCCTGCAGAGATTTCGAATTTACCGCAAGC